CAGAAATATCTGATACGATATTAGGTTTATATTAGGTACTAGCTGCTCTTTCGCCACCTCCACACCACATTTCACTCTGTGCGGCAGTTCCCCCTAACCCCTCCTCTTCCCCTCCAACCACCGTGAAGTGGATGAAAACTCCACTCGTAAGCCATCGAGCGACTAGCCCGTCGAAATACTTCGAATGTAAAAGCAACGTGCGAGCGAATAAGGAAAGTTGTGCTTTTAAGGCCATGACTCAAAAAGTCGTGGGAGTCTGTGTCAGTGGGCGGAGCGAGTAAGGCGTTTGGGGAGTAAGCGTTAAAATGCAAACTTTTATACAAATTCAATCATATACGAGCAAATAGTTTTTCAACGCAGTCTCAACGTTGCTTACTGACATGACTCATGGCAGTGATGGCGAAGCTGTACAATGGCACAAAAAATAATACAAAGAAATTCGAGAAAATGAGTCTTGAAAAACTGGATTTCATAAGACCTGATGTAAGCGGCTGTTGTAGGAAGTACGGCAGCCGCATTAGGCGGTCTGATCAAGAGAAAATGCCGAAATATGCCACCCAGAAGGATTCCGTGGCAGCCAAGTCCGGTCACTTCCTAGGAAAAATTGGAGTGCGACTATTATGGTAGGCAAAAACACTAATGTAAAACAATTGAAGGCAACACTGGATAGTGCGGTAGACGGCCAAAGGAGCTGTTCACCGTTCGGTGACCCTTACCCTGAGATTATTCCTGTGGCAAAAATAAAGACAAGTGGGACCAGTGTGGGACTCTTATATGAATTTATTGAAGAGTAGCATGCAGTTTTTAAAGCTACAGTCTTCATGGCATCATTAGTGGAAAGAGGGCGCCCTGGCAGCGGCGCAATCCGCACCACGTCGTACGCCCTTTCTTTTGCATGGTAGTTGACGTCGCTGGTCTAAAACTCCGGCAGAGGGGATGTATTGTCATTTGCTCCAATCCTGTGGCCCTGTGCTCTAATGTCTATTTTTCTGCCCGCCAACCTCTACCGAGTACCACTTCATTTTGGATCGCGTTTTCGATAAAGCTGCACTCACAGCTCGCGACTGTTGGCGAATAAGGCGTGCGAATTTGGCGCGACTCGGCTCACGCGACGCAAGCGATTCCGCGATACCGTGATCAGAGCTAGTGCTCATTATGGAGACGGTTCTGAACGGCGCTCCTCGTGCCGCTACACCACGGTGCTCACGAGAAGTTGTTTTATCACAGAATCGCTTGATTCGTCCGATTTAGCCGCACGTGTAGCGAACTATGAACGCTGTGCATGGCCCTGTATAGATGTCGTAGCATGCAAACTGTCGAGGGAGCAATATCCCAAAGCGGCTACCGTTCTACCAGTCAATCTAGAAATGCAGTCAAAATGGAGCACTGGTTATAATGAAGATATGTGGGGAAAATCGTAGCGTCACAGCATTGTCGGTCGGCCGAGAAGTGCCGGTTGGTAAGGAGAGTACTTCTCGTCCGCTGACTCCAACTTCTTCCTTTCGACTGAACACCAATTGAGCATGGGGAATTCCTTGAGCAGTTGTTCTCTGGAAACAAAAGTGTTTCAATTCATAAGTTCTTCCAAATGCGATACATTCTTTTTCCAAATATCCAAGTTTGTAGATTTGTTGATAAAACACACGTTACGTATGATATGTAAGGTACGTAAAAGTGTTCAGGGGGTCTCTCACGAGAAAATGTTGGTATATAACCCAGTAGGTTACAGAAAACGAGAAAAAGGGTAGGACCAAGTGATTTCGAACGGATGTAAGACGCGAGGAGTCACACTTGCGGAGGGTTCGTACTTGCTTTTCAGGAAAATTTTTCCGAGCCGTGAGAAAATTTTTTACAGTTGTTGACCTTTCCTTGTTTCATGTTCACAACATACGACCCTCATTTGCCGGTGATTATGTTAGTAATTGTGGGGGCGACATGCCATGCTTTTTCGGTTTTTTTTTCGAAAAATGGGAGAAATTCCTTGAAGAACTGTATGAGATTGGAAAAACTAAGGAAGATGGATGGTCAATAGAATAGGGAACGGGTCGTATCAGTAAAGGCGGAGGGGAGGGAGTCGTATCGACAGCGCCACATCACGATGGTGCACGCCGGGTATAGGGTGATCGCCGCGGCTGCCTTGAAACAGTGACCGGTTCACGATATACATAATATTGAAAAGTAACAACTCGAATCTACTTGAAAGTTGAACTCATTGCGTCTCTCAGTATGGTTTTGATAGACGTGAAAAGGTACTCTGCCCTACGTGTCCTTTCTGTTTATTTCATTCTTTAGAAAGAGAGCGGTTATACCTCAGATTTGGACTGCAGAGCATATAGACGGGTAATCGAAGTAAGCTGTTCACAGCGACCAGGATGCTGACCACGTCGGTGGCAAGAGTGTAGAATCGAGTACTGCAAAGTTCAATTTCGGTATGAAAGACGCACAAAAATAGTACAGTTTTGAACACGGGCAGAGTAGAAGATAGAGACGGCTGCATGCACACAAAGCCTGGACCTTCTAAACATTTGAATCACCTCAAAAGCTCTTTGGATATACAAACGGCTACGTCTGTCTGTCTGTCAACCTACTTGTCGGTCTGTTTATTTGTTTGTCTGTCTGTCTGACTGCCTGTGTGGTCTGGTCCGGGAAATTCCGGTCAATCACCTGAAGAAGCCCGGTCTGAGGAGGAGCTCAAGGGTGGATATTGGGTTGTGGCATGGGTGCAGGAGTATGTACCTCAAGGGTGGACTGGGTTGGGCATGGGTCAAGATGTACGGAACGTACATGAACTCAGCCAGGCTACGCTTCTAACTAAAGGGTGATCGCTCATCTTCGCCGACTTGTAAAGTATATTGGACACAAACCTGCTGTGATCCTCGTTGTACAGAAGTGTGCTGTTAGGGAAGATGTGTTCCGCGCCCATGACGGAAATGAACAAAGAAAGAGACGAACAGCAGAGATAGGTGGTGGTGATTGAGACCATCGTCCACGTTGCGTAACGCACTTCATCCCGGCGTTTTTCGAAAGGGAACACTGCATTGATTCTGAACGAAAGTTCCTCCATTCAATACCGGAAAAGATGCTAGAAGTTGACCATCTCGCGGCCCCCGGCCAGGAGGCCTGCGTCCGAGTACAAATGAGAGCGCTCTGTTCGCAGGGACAGCATTCGATAGGATTTTGGGTCTCGAGCTTTTACGACCCCCCTTTTTTTTCAGGGGCTGGTACGACCCCCCCCCATGCTCGTACGATGGCTGACATGGCTGACTGTGGTTGTGGTTTATACTCGGCGAAAAAGTTGTCGAGCGGGGGTATGTAGTAGGCATGCGACGTACATCGTACGGGCGTACATAGTACCTATAACACAGAAAATTCATAAAACCCATGAAGTGAACCACGTAACTCCTAGCCAGAAATACGACCCCCTCCTCCAAAACGTCGCATAAGCGAGGAAAAATCAACTATAAATAATCTTTTCCACTAAGCCCAAATAACGACGCGCCCCGCCAGTCCCCCCGCGTTTTTTTTTTTTTTTTTTTGTTTTTGGCGGCCAAACTACGCCGCCCCCAACCCCCATAGGGCAATGCCCCCCTCAAGGTGCTGTGCGCGTGCTCTGTCACATCTCCATGAGCGGCATCATCTTGTACAACAAAAATACAAATGGAGAAAGGTTAGCGCTAGGCATCGTTTGCACAGCCACCATCTGTCATGGAGAGGGGTATAAGAGGACGTAGAATGGGACGCAGTCTTCTTTTTCTACTCAATGTTGCTATCGTGAGCCCGAAGAAATCGCGAACGTGGAGAAAGCCGGAGTGCTCCAGCATGTCTTCCTTCCACGCATCTTTTTAGGCTGCAGGTCTCGCTATACTTCTCTGCTAGCCTTCTCGTATAGCAGTCGCATGTCGGATGCCTTGTAGCGTTTGCGAGCGTCACCAGCATCTGCCATAGCGTCTCGAGAGCTGGAGAAGTATAGGTATCAATCTAGCGTCTGCCGGCGGAGGGAGTAGAGAGTATGCGGAAGTAGGAGGGTAGCAAGCAGCTGGATAGAGCCCTGACGTGGATAAACAGTGTTATTGCAGCGGCACCGTGCAACCAATTACAGTGCGCGTATACATTTTTTTAAACCGGAAGCCCGCGCTTCGAGTAGCCCATGGTCGTCCTTCCTTGTACAGGGTAGTTCAGCCCCCAAGCTAGATGCTGTCCCACTCTCGCAACTCCACAGTGAGCGAGAAGCGAGCTACAACCGCTCAAAGTTCTAGTTCTAACGCCCGCTCAGTTGGACCGCCTCACTTGCTAGCTGCCCTCTGACGGAGAGCCGCTCAGGCCTTGCGTCTTTGTCAGGCACGGGCGGGCATACTCGGGTTGGAAGTCATGTTTTGGCAGACGCGCGATGGTGCCGCTTAGATCAACTCTGGGCTCGCCGCTAATCAGCATTTCAATTCATTGAGAGCCATACAGTAAAGTGCAACCTATCTCGTAAGGTAAAATTGCATAAGAACCGAGTGAATGCATTTTTGTGGTGCAAAGCTCGACTAGGCAACATGCTCACTAAAAGCGGCTCGCTAGCCATAACCCGAATTCGGAACGTCCCCGTGTGCCTTCTGGAAGTTTTTTTTGCCTTTCAGGAGTTTTTCTTCAGGGTTTTATGTTTTCGGGCGTATTCTTTTTCATTTGCATTGGATGATATCCACTACTGAGAGATGTGATAAAGAGATTTTCGAGCCAGGGGTTGCCCACGGATCGCAGGGCGGTGTAACTGTAAGGGAGCAATTTCGTTTGTGGTGTTCTTGAGGGCTCTTGTTGCTTTTTTCCCTCATTGAGGAATTACTTATCAGCTACTGTTTCATAATTGATCAGCAATTATCCTTGACACTTTTATCGCGGGAGCTGTCTTTAAACTGCATAATTATGTGCTTAGCAGTTGTGCGGTGCGGCTGCACACGTCGCGACGCCTAATCCAGCTGTTCGCTACCATCCCACTTTCCCATACTCTCTACTCCCGGCCGCTGGTGAACGCTGGTGGGCGCTGGTAGACGCTAGTGCTTCTCTGGCCCTTGAAGCGCCGGTAGACGCTGGCAGACGCTGGCAGACCTAGATCGATATCTTTCCGACTTTCAGCGTCAGCAACTTTCCTAGTCGCTGACACTGCCGGACGCTGATAGGCGCTGGTGCGCTGCCGCAATGTATGAACGCAGCTTAAGTGGATGCTTCAGGAAGGTCCTCGCAACTTTACTAAATGGCGGATTTTCATCGAAGTTTTTAGCATTTTCGGTAGCATGGAGAGAGCGTCATGTGGCGAACCGATCATCGTAAAAGGCGAGAACGTAGGACAGCGCCGAAATTGTTGGCAATGAGCTTCCCAGCCATTCAAACTCAGATCATGCGTTTTCATCAGAAGCGATGCCACTCCCATGAATGTTATCATGGACCAACCAGGGCACTTTCTGTAGCTGGGAACTATTCTTACAATGCGACCCCCTCCACCTCAGATTATATCCTCTGGTACGACCCCCTTCCCGGTACTTACCATCTTCCCAAACTTTCTCAACTTCCTACCACTTCTCCTTGAAGTTTTTCAGTTTTCTGAAAAAAAATTTCCAGCAACAAGAAAAAGTTGTAGCGGAGTTGATTAACAATTATCTGCACAGGGAGTCTCTCGACGTTGTCGATAATGAAGTCCCTGGACTGAATCCAACCTCTGCTGGTGGTTTCATAGCGTAGGATGTGCCCTAGGATCTGCCCACTTTTATACTGAGGACGTTCACTCAGCTTTCCCTGAAATATTCTTCAAACCATTTACTGTAAACGGTACCTTTCACCATCGTCGATGGACAGGATGCTTTTCTCGCAAAAGAGAGCAGGTCCACAATGGCAAAAGATAGGCCAATAGATTAACCGTTTGCTCGAAAGAACGCAGAAACCTTAAGCGGACATGACTCAGGCCCATGGACTGTTAGTGGACTCATGTTTTCCCACTTCACCCAAAGGGTGTAGTGGTCTTGCCCGATGCCCACGTTGCCAGCTAGTTTCTTCTTCGCGCGCTCAACGCCTCTTCGCTGTATGCGCTCAAAATATCAGTGTCCTGCGAAACATTAGACGGGATTCCAAGCTGGGTATTCCTCTAGTTCTTCCGCCATAACTTATTCAGAATCAGACTGTTGGAACATTCAACATCATTCAACAGTAATTAAGCACCAAGACCTTCGGAAAGGACTTTGATTCCTGCGGAGCGCTTTATTCAGAGTAGTAGGACTTCAACACAAAAGTGCCTCATTAGAGAGCGTTCATTTTTTGAGGTAGCGTCCAGCAGCGTCTACGAGCGTTTATCAACGACAATTAGCGTTCTGGACGTCTGGCAGCGTCAGCGACTAGGAGAGTATAGGTATCGGTATATATTGTACTGGTCGCTGCGCTGCCAGACGCTCGGATCATAGACGCTCATATTTTTGATATTGTACCACTAAACCGTACATTAAGTTGCATGGCTCTGTGCTTTAGTTGTTGTGGCGAGTGCGGTTGCACAATGGAATTTCAAGCACCTAATCAGCTTTTGCTACCTCCCTCACTTCCCGCACACTCTTTTACTTCCGGCTCGCTTGAATGATGCTGCAGTGACGCTGTATATGCTAGCAGACGCTGTGAGTGGCTATACATAGTCGCTGATTCCCGACCGCTCGGAACGCTACTGTTTGCTACTGGACGCTGGGAATCTTGGTGAACGCTGCCGCAAAGTATAAACGCAGCCTAAGGAGCTGTCGCTTGCCTTATCTTGCATTTTGTTATAGGAGGCTCACTTGGCGCCTCGTTTTTCATATTCAAACGCCACTACCGCCCGGCGCATTTTGTCGACGGGGGCGATGGGGCGACGGGGGGGCATTTTGCACTTTACCTTCCCATCGACGTGTCGACCCATCTAGACAGCCTCTTCTCGAGTTGACAGGTTTTACCATGATGGCTTGACGAGCTTGCTCCAGCTTCAAGAGTTCACAGGTTTCACCAGAGTGAGACTTGTAAACCAGAACTAGTGAAGCAACGAAAGTGCAAATGCCCCCCCCCCCTCACGTCGGCATACTGCGCCCTACGGCCCTTTTAATTATGATGAATGTTCCCTCTAGAAGTCTTAAGATTCTTGGATTCTTTCGATTATGAATTTGGTTTTTTTCAGAATAAGGAGAGTAGAAACGTTAGCATTGCCTGAAAGGACTCGATTCATAAAGACTGACTGAATGCAAACCTTTTCGAATCATTTCGGTCACTTTTGGCATGTCGATAAGTGTAGCCATTGCCCAGCTTACTCCATGAATTTTTCGTTTTGTCAACACTACTATCGAAATATTCAGGATCACCAGAATGGCAAAAGGAACGAATATGTGTAACACCTAAAAGAGGAACTCCTTTACGATTCAGGGATTCACCGAGAGGATACTAATGCAAAGTTCTCACAGTCATCACGTAGAAGTTGAATTTCTGATAATGTTCCCAGCCCGCAAGCAAAGGCACGTAGTCGTAACTCTGAAAGGAGAATATTAAAAAAAATAGGAAGGAAATATGATCAAGCATGTGCATTACTGTTGTATTGGCACAATCAGGGTCCTTCGGCTTGTTCATAATTACAATGAAATGAAATGAAATGTAATGTATATGGAAGATGAACCGGTTGAAGTCTGCAAAGTGAGTAACATTTTGAAGAGGAGCGCTTCTCATGAGTACAATAGCAAATGGAAGAATGACTAGCCATTGTGGAAAACTTAAGGCAAAAAAAATGAAAACGAAAAATGAATGAGAATGAAAAAAGATAGCAGAAACTGAGTTTCTACAGATATAGACCACGATTTTCCCCATTTTCCCATTCCCATCCCCATTTCCTGGGCTAATCAGGCGGATTTTGCATAGTCCCACGTGACATAACCTCGTCATCCGGGCAGTTGATAGGGCGTCGATCAACGGTGCCCGCCAGCGCGTGCCAGGGACTATTTTTAACAGCTAAATTAGTTCATTTCCTACTCTGTGTATTTCTGACTGGGTTCTGCTTGCATGGATATAGATTCGCTAGTTTGTATCACAGCACTTGTGAAGATAAGGAGCTGCTAATCTGGGAAAAAGTAGCCAAAACAGTGAAAAGTTGGAAAAATGACTAAATTAGCCTGGAAAAAGCAAATAGTTCCTGGCACGCGCTGCGGCCCGTTGACGACCGCCCTAATCAACTGCCCGGATGACGAAGTAGTTAGAGCAACAATTTCGCCGCTTGTGTCTAACAGTTTGGTCCCCCCCTCCATCAGAGCATATAAGAAAGATTGATATTGGGAAGAATAAAAATGGATAAATGCAAATGTTCGAAGACAGAGAATGCTGCTTTAATCGGTCACCTTTACCTCGCAGAGAAAGTAGGGTAGCCTTTCCCTTCAGATCTTATCAAACAAAATTGTAGTTCTATTCGCATTACATTATCATTCATCGAATCATGATGCAAGCAGGGGGACGCTTGAATTACATTTTTCAAGAAAGTAGACATGTCATGGATTGTGCTTACACAATGACTTGCATTAGCTAGATTTGTAGGATTTGTACGCTACCCTCTTTATTCCCTAAGACCGGTCAGGTATCAAACAATATTATCTAAGGGAATTTAAACTCCAGTCAAAACCGTGGAGTTTAGAAGGGAGTCAATCCCCCGTGCGGTAAACCGCAAGCCACTGCTACCATCATTCTGAACTCTACATGGTATCAAAATTGACCTGTCCATAATCAAAGCTCAATAGGGAGATAAGGTGAAGGCTGTTATTCTCAGAATTTTTTTTGAAAGTTCTGCTGCGTATGTTCACATTAAGGCCAACGATGCCACTGTAAAAGGTTGGAACGACAGGTCGCCTTCTACATAGACATTGGCTGCGAATGGATATAACTTACATACTTGTAAAACATAAGAGCATAGTTTTTCCCTGTAGGAGGAAAACTTGTTGTTTCTTACTGAATTTTCTCGAGGTATCTCATTTCATCACTTTCTATGTATTCATGAAACCGGACACCCTGAAATCCTGAAACCTTATTTACGACTTAAGCCCGAATCCTATTTCAAAGGGAATCAGTCTTCGTCAAGGTGTCTGGAACACTAGGAAAAAGCTAGCCCAAATTTCATAGTTATCGATTGCTCCGCGGACAACATTTGTCAAGCAGTGTTGTTATAAAAACCCCAGACGATCTAGTTGACCTTGAACTTCTGGAAGGATCCAGAAAAGTACCCATGAAGCCCAGTTCATTCTGTTATGCCACTATTTTAGGCTTATCAACGAATGAGTACAGGATTGCTTCAAAAGAAAATTACGCTGAAAGTTGTTTTTTCGGTATATTTTTGCAACCAAAGTGTATTTGAACAATGTATATTTCGAAGATATTAGGAGAAATAGCGTCCATACATTTTCCCATCTTGCAAATGGGTGACCTTTGGAGTTCCTCGGCCTTCAGCCCCATGCGTACTACATATTACTATAAGCATCACGCTCATATGCTTCCGTGTAGTCGCGTGCTGCACATGGTGGAATTATTTGGCAGTATCTCGTGGGTGTCAAAATATGTTTTCTAACCCGGGGGGAGGGTATTCAATCAGCCGAAAGGTTTCTCAAATAACTGGCCCTCTGCAGTGTATTTTTCAGCTGCACTCCCTCTCCCTCTCTCAGTTTTTCCTCGACGATCAAATGACCAAGCCCGTGGCGTGACTGGAAGCTCAAAAAATTTAATTGGGGCATTGCCTCTTGGCCTATCGTCCTTATCTTACGCCTGCAGTATTTCTTGACATATAAAGGATAAGCGGGTGTGGTGTAGTGACAAGTGACGCGCTTACCACTCGCGCGCGCGCCGGGTTCGAATCCCGGGTCGACACCCGCCCAGGCCAACCAAGCCTTCTACCCTCCGGGGACGGTAAATTGGTACCAGATTCGTCTGGGAGGATAAAACACTGACTTGTACATCGGCTGGCCACCGCAAGTCATTGTATAGGCCACATCGCATTCAATAAGCCACTACGATTCTGAATGGAAGTAGAATGCGTGCCGCATCCCACAAAGGGATTGATCAACGGCGAAGACTTTATCCTTTATAAAGGATAAAAAAAAGGATAAAGTCTCTGCAAGAGAACAATCCGACGCGAACAGTAACAATCGCATGTTCCGAGAATCCGGCACGAGCACTCTAAGTCCGTCAAAACCCGGGCAACTATGAAATTAGGGCTGAGGCAAAGGTCGCGACGCAGACGGCTACAGACGAGCGATCGTGCCGTCGCGATCAAGCCTTCTTCCGCCCTCAACATATATTGGGCCATTTTTCTCCCACTAATCTATTTACCACTGAGCAGCTTTTACAATTATTATGAGGTTAGCTGTGTCTCATTCTTTAATGAAGTACGTGAGGGTGTGGAGTCTTTTTTTTTGATTTTTGGCAATATGCGTTTTGAGCGATTACTTTTCAAGATATTCCGTTCAAACTGTGTGTGCTCAACTGAGTAATTGCACGCAACAATCAGAGGAATCTCAATCATAATTTACCTTGTAAAGACAAGAAACAACTAATCTCGAAAAAAAGCAGCCATAACAGTGTAAATTAGGGAGAAAATGGCTAAATTAGGCTGGAAACAGCTGATGGCACGTGACACGCCGCAACCGCGTCGCGACCCTTGCCACCCTAGTTAATGCCCGGATAACGATTTACTTCCATTCAGAATTGTAGTGCAGTCGACCAGGGATTCGAACCCAGGACGTCGCGAGTGTTAGGCGCGCCAAGTGTCACTACTCCGCCTTCTTGAAATATAATTAAAAGAAATTCGGACATTTACCATACTATAAAGGACATTTATGTATCAATTACGGCTTGTGTTTTTTTTTGACAATAAGAATTCCGTGAGCCACTCGCGCCCTCCAACGAAAAAATGCCGCTGTACACAATGACTTACGGAACCTTTCGTAACTCGATTTCGACCATTAGAGAGCCCGAAACGTATCAACAAAAATAAGGTTTAGCGAGTAAGTGGAAAACATATCTCGCGCCACAATACTCGTCTGGCCTTCCCTCACAATAATGGAAGCGCCATCGTGAAAAGACCCAAAGCTGTGGCTGCGGTATTGTTACTCTCGAGACATTGACAATGATGATTAACAAGGCCTATCATTGCACTGCCCTCCCCTTCCCCCACCCCCCCTTTGCTTTATGCAAAGCGGCACCCTCCTCAGCCCTCACTCTAGCTTGATTAATCGCAGTAACTCTAATGAACTGAGTACGGAGCTCGGTTCATTTCTGATGCCATCTAGCTTCCGCCTTCTTTCATCAAGGGTAATTTGTATTTTTACGAATTCCTGGAAAAAGAGTGCACTAATAATGGACACCAGCCTCACCATATAAATCGGGCACTCCGTTCGAAAAGTGATCACGTACTCGAAAAAGGCTGGCACTCGAAGTGCAAGAACACATAGAATAACTACTCCTATAGTTATATAGCGGCCGTTTTCTCTGAAATCAAGTTTTTATGGGAGGAAACGAACTCAAGAGGTCTTTCGGACTCACCTTACTAGGGATTGAAGCGAAGTAATATTGGCCACCACAATGAATCGTTCCATTGTCGCACACAATACCATGTATGTTGAGGCGAATTGGACTGAAATCATCCATAAAAGGACAAAGCTATCGGCGCCAGATGACCCCTCTTCTAGGCGCTCCAGTCATCTTAGTTTAATTCGAGATCAGAGTGCCATTTTGAGTGCTACATAGCCGATGCGATGACGTTGAAGGCCAGGCGGTGCAGAAGAGGTGTTTTTGAACTCTCAAACATAGCTGGTGCGGTTTAGCCGACCTCAGAGCGATGTAGGCCTAGCTAGCTTTCGTGGAAGCAGATCTGATATTTCATTCCCTGAAGCAATTCGGAGCCAGACGGACTTGATTTTCACTCCACTATATTGCGTTGAAGAAGGTAAAAGTCCCTAATGATTAAAAAAAGTACGGTCCATATGGAAA